TTCTCCGTGGTGTTAATGTTTTTAGCTCATGGGCTTCATTAAAAGGTCATAACAGAGAAAGCTGTTTATTTGTTGTCCTACTTTATGGGATAGTAATGATGCACCAATGTCTCAGCATCCAGACGCCTTTGGTCTAACTTTGCTAAACACACTTTGTTTGAATCAGTGTAATTGTAAATGTCAAACCATTCCACCTTTGGCACTCTTGTGAAATCAACCCCCCACTGAGGGGTCAGGAAGTTTTAACCATAGACTGTATATACTATGGACAACTTGGTTCCGCCTTCCGCCAGTATACGGATTTGAAGCCGACAAGCTCGATTTTTCTTCATTTCCTGAAACCAACATTGCGCAGTAGCGTTGAACGCACTTCACCACTTGCACATTGTACGCATTCAGCAGGAGAGTCGCCAGGAGTTTCGATTGGTCTCATTACAGAGTAAACCTGTAACTGATGCAAGAACTTTGTGTTGGTAATATCCATGTCGGGGTCCCCCACCTTTACCAGCACCTATTTACTGTGACAACTCTGGTTCTGTAAGGTACTATTATCACAGACAAACCCTGCTTGACCTTCCATTTGTCCTCCATAAGTGGTTTGTGTCTTTATTTTTCTCTGTAGTGCTCCCCCTCTTTGTTTTTTTCTTTCTGTCTGTCTTACCCCCTCCCTCTGTTTTTCCTCCTCCCCCTCTGCTCTGTATTTCTCTCTGTCAGTTTTTGTTTACCAACCCTTTCATCTGGATATTGCTTTATATGTTAAACCCTCCTATTTGAATGGAGTTTTATTTAAAACCCTGTCATTTAAATAGCTCTTAAAAAGACAGAGGGATGAAAAGTCAACAAGGACCCTTCGATTGTGTCCCCCGACAGGGGACGCACACAAATACATGCACACACAGACATACACATTCGCGCTCACACACCGCCTGCTTGTCTACATGCATCTGAGTCTATTATTATGCTAATGACTCTCCAGTCTCCACATGTCCTCACAGCCTCTACGCACAATGTTACACTCACACACACACCTACACAAACACATTCACACAAACACAGATTTTTTCGCTGAGCTCAGCAGTATAGCGGCACTCACAGGCCAGAGGGAAAAATAACGAGGAGAGGACAATGTCACCATATAGAAATAGACTAGATAGAAGTGCTTCCTGGTATGCCATCAATAGGGGAAGGGACACAATCATTGCATTCGGCAGGCTGTCTGTAGTGAACAAGGAATACATTTACTGCAGTGAACAACCCTGTTCAATCGTTGATCCTATAGACTAAATAAATATCACAATCTTCAGTGTTCAGATTTTCTTTTTCCATAAAAGCATAGAAATGTTCTCTGTTCTTTATATCCCAGCAGAATTCAATTTGAAACTCATATTTCTTTAAAGCATACTGTATTTCAAGGTAAAACCACATATTAGCTGCCATTAGACATCAACTAAAACTACCATTTAACCATGAACAAGCTTGTTAGAGCTGCTGTTAATGTTGAACGCTTCACTAAAAAGCCATCATATAGTAATCTGAAAATTCTAGTACCACATCTTAGCGTAGAAGACCACCACATGCAAGTCTGGGTTGATTAATGTGAGACAGAAGGTTGTTGAATTCTGACAGTGTGGTTATGTACGGTAGAAAAATATAATTTAACTTAAAAATGGCAGCACACTTTTTGTCTCTCTGTATCTTTACCAACCATTGTTTTTTTTTATTTATTTATTTTTTTATTTATCAATCTGTGTGAAGTGAAAAAGAAATAAATTAGCAGATTCACTACTTTCTATAAAAATATTTTCCCTTTCCATGTACAACATTGAGACTTTCTACCTTAAGTGTGAATAGAAAGAAGAATGGCAACCGCATAAATAATAATAATAATGATAATAATAATAATAATGATAATGATAATAATAATAATTATAATAATTATAAACAATATTTCATTTAAGTTGTATTTAATTTTTTATTATATTTAACTCATAATTAAATAATATTATTTAATTATATAGTATTATATAATAACAAGTTTTTATCTGACTTTGTTGTTTTTATTTATGCCACTTAAAGCTCCTGTGGGGATTTTTCTGTCTGTGTTGCTTTTGGCGCCCCCTGTAGACAAAGTAGGAACCCTTCTTTTGCTGCTGATTTCATTCTCTCCTTGTGAAAGTTGTGTTAATTGACACATAAAAATCGTCTCTTGTTGTCTTTTTATTCCAAAATTGATCTCACTTGTAAGGAGAAAGTAACCAGTGCTGTTTCAGTGTACCTACCCACTCATAGCAGTAACAGACATAAAAATTTACAATAAATTAATCTTGTCGTCAATGGTCTAACTTGCTTTTTTACATCGTAGATATTCATCATATTTTACCTGAATCCTCCTTACAGGAGCTTTAAGGGTCCTTGATGGAAAGACTAAATATCTTAAAAGGGTCATACAGCTAATTGTCGTAGATGAGGAAGCACACAAGAGGCTTTGTGTTTGGGCAGAAACCAAACAACAAGCCAAAAGGGACTGAGATTCATACACTGCTCCTTTCATTTCATTCAGAAAAACATGGTTAACAATAAGGCATGCTTTACTATATCCAGTAGGAATCTGATATATTGATTTTTTGTACTTCAAACTAGATTTTTGAATGCCCACTGTAAGCTCCTTTATCTTTTAGAGAGAACAAGAAACTCCCTTCATACACAAGCATGAGGACATAAATAAAGAAGCAATGGTAAGTGTTGTCAGAAGAGACAGGGGGGATGAGTTTAAAAGCAGTACTCAGCAATGCACTTAACTAGACACACACCCACAGGTTCAAAAAAAGGCACACTCACAGACATACTCCCTCTGTCTCTCTCAAACATTTTCTCAATGAACTATAAAAATAGGTTAACTCCAAGGACCTCACTGAATAGAACTTACATAAACGCACACGTCACTGAATTACATCACACATCATCATCCTTCCCGTCTGTGTGTGTGTGTGAGTGTGTATGAATGGGGGTAGGGCTTTGGATGAGTGTGTGTATGTGTGAATATGTTGCTGTCTGCTGGCTGGAGGGAGAGATCTGTTTGTCCTAGTGTCTAAACACCAAAACAGCGCATCATGACTCTGCGCCATGTCTCTGCCCTCTGTCATAGAAGTATACATGAATTCATATGAGGTAATGCAGCTCTTCTAAAGCTCTGACATTCTCTGTCTCTCTAGCTATAGGAGACCATTCACTAAAAAAACACCTTCACCTCAGTTACAATAACTAAACTCATTGGCTAATGTTGAGTCTGGATTTACGCAAAGAAGAAATGATTGGCCCAGGAGAGATGCTGATTTACATAAAGGAAACTCAATTGGTCTACTGCAGTGTAAAGGCATTGACCTGTGTTCACTGCCACAAGAAGTTGGTTTTCAGGGGTTGATCACATGGTTCTCAGTCACTGTGACCAGCTGAAATTAGTAAGCAGGAGGGCTTTTTTTCCCCCTGTAGACCAGATGTTACTGTACACAGAAATAAACATGGTACAAACCATAGACTGTATATACTATGGACAGCTTGATACCACCTTCTGCCAGTACACGGATTTGAAGCCGAAAAGCTTTTGGTAATTCCGCATTTTCTCGTCACTTCCTGAAACCAACATTGCGCAGTAGCATTGTGTGCATACGGTGGGAGAGTCGCTGTGATGACGCTCAGCTCTAACAGCGTATCCCCAGGTGAGCTACGCAATCTTCGTACGCCCATAGGCTGTATCAAGTGTCAATCATAGAAAACATGAACCCCTAATAACTTTTAAAAATGGAGCTGCACAGAAAAAAGAGGATTTGTGCACAAACCAGTCTTACTGTAACTACATGTCAACATCACAACCAGGGGGAGAAAAATGTATATTCTGTGTAATAAATTTCTAAAGTTTGTCCACAGCCCCATACACTTTGCTGGCAGAGGTGGGATTAATAACCTATACTGCAGCCCGTCACCAGAGGGCGCTGTTCTCGCGGTGGCTTCTCCCAGCGAGGAGGCAGACACTGTCCAGAAGATGACATTTCACAGTCATAAGGAATAACCAATCACAGCTCAGCACTTCTAGCCAATCAGAGGCGAAGGAGGGCAGGACCCTCCCTTACCATCCTACAAAAAAAAAAAATCGCTCGCTGGGTGAAGCTACTCTGAGAACAGCACCCTCTGGTGATGGGCTGCAGTATAGGTCATAAATCCCACCTCCTCCAGCAATCCTTATGGAGCTATGGACAATCTTTAGAAATTTATTACACAGGATATTACACAGGATATAAAATTTTCTCCCCCCTGGTTGCAATGTTGACATGTAGTTATTGTAAGTCTGGTTCGTGCTCAAATCCTCTTTTGCAGCTCCATTTTAAAAGTTATTAGGGGGTTCAAGTTTTCTATGATTGAGACTTGATACAGCCTATGGGCGTATGAAAATTGCGACTCTCGGCAACTCTCCCACCGAATGCGTATAATGCTACTGCGCAAGTGGTGGAGTGCATACAACAGTACTGCGCAATGTTGGTTTCAGGAAATGAAGAAAAAACGTGGAATTATCGAGAGCAACCAAGTTGTCCATAGTATATACAGGGGGTATCAAAAAATCAGAATGTCCTTGGTGGGTACATATAGCATACAGCCTGTAATATAGAGCTCTTTCAGAAAGTCCCCCCACAACAGTTTTAGACTCTATATACTACTGATAGCACTTATAACTGAGACAAATGTAAATCTATTGTTTAAAACCCTGACATATGGTTACGACCTTTTCAGTTGCACATAACAAACGAAAGCGTTTCCTTAAACGTTAAGTGAAAATTACATAAAATACCAACTATTTTCCTGCTTTACTGTAAAAATCAGAGTGAGCGTGCACTTGAAACCAAAACATTAAATCTCTGCCCGGCCATCCTCGCGCGCTGCTACTGGTCCCATAAGAAATGATGCTCTTTTTTCCTTCTTCTGATGAATAAAATTAAGCACTTCCACCATCTCTCTCTCTCTCTCCCTCTCTCTCTCTCTTCTCTCTCTCTCTCTCTCTCTCTCTCTTATAAAGCTTGAACAGCTGATCTCGTGCATCAGAAAGAGCCGCAGCTCCGTACGCGCCGCGGAGAGGGATAAGAGAGGGGGAAAGAGAGAGGTACAAGAAAGAGAGAGAGAGAGAGAGAGTGCGACGGAGAGATGAGCTGTTCATGTCTTCCAACTGTCGGTATCTGGACGAGTATTTTAGCAATATCACAGCGGAACTGTGACGACGTTTTGTGCGACTCTGAAGTCTCTCTCTTCGCAGACATTTCCGAGACTCATTTCTGTTTCGGTTGTGAGCGTCTTTAACCTTCAGTTGCTCTTTGACCGTTTGACGACCGCTTCACCTGTTATTATTTCACTTCTTCTTCTTAAGGCTCGTTTTTTGGCAAACTATCCGACTGTTTCGACTCCTCCGTGTGGGAAATTCCTTTGGACAGTGTTTGGCCTCCAGTTAAGCGTCTGAAACTTATTTTATTGTCTCTTTTTTCGGACTGGAGCGGTAGGTAAAAGCTGTGGCACGCGGAGAAGTGGAGGAGCTGTCCGGTGCTGAATTCAAGGGGGCACGAGGACAGCTGTCCGCGTGGTGGAAACCGACGATTTGGTCGACGAAACAAACAGTCGACTTTCTTAGTCGAAACAGCGGGATAAACACGAAACAAAACAGAAGGAAAGGAGACTTTGACTGCACGAAGCCAACAGAGGAGTAGATTTATTTTCCTTGTTCGACCTCTCAGAGCTGCGCAGGTCTTCCAGTAGCGACTTTGACCCCATTGTTTTTTTCTTTGAGCAACAATAAACCAAGATATGAAAAATACACACAAATGAGGAACACTTGATTCGTCCTGTCTCCAAAAAGCCATGTCTGCTATCCACTTTCGAGGCAGTTTGATTGGAAGGAGCAAACGCATCGTTAGTAGCTGAAACCGAGGAGTGCATTCAAATCAGACAATTCAAGAGTTTCACCAACAAGTCTGAAGAGGGTTGGAAGAGTGTGTGTTGATTTTTTTTTCTCGAGTGAAGAAGGAACAACAAAACTGCTGTCCCATCATGCCTCGCTCATTCTTAGTGAAGAAAGTGAAACTGGACGATTTTTCGGCTGCAGAGCTGGAGAGCTCATATGGTCACAGCAGAAGAGAGGAGCTCAGTCTGCGGTTCCATCATCATCATGATAAAGGTTTGTCACTCTCTACCTATACACTCTCACTATCTCTCATACATCATCCAGATCATCCCATTACACACAGATTTAAAGCTTTAGTCGGAGAAGGGGAATTATGGGGTCAAACTGCGGGCACAACCCAAAAATATAAACAATGAAATGTTCCTTTTCTTGCACAGATTATGAACTGTGTTATTATGTAGGAGGCAGATCAGAGAGATGGCTTAGAGGTGAGAAAATCTCCTTTAAAATGAGACAGGCTGATAACCTCACATGCTTAAGGCTACAAAAAGGCACACATTGCTTCAAGAAATGTAATGTGGTAAATGTGTGATACACATTGACACTCCTCCTGGCCAAGTCAAAGGTCATAGCAGAGAATTAATAAACCCTATGTAATATTTAAGTGTTAAGACATTACAAACCATAACATTTTTTAATTGCTAAGTTGGAAAAATCAGATAAATCTTATGGTAAAACTCTTTTTTTGTCTTAAAATGGAGCCACTTGGATAGAAAGGCACTCTTAGCTTGCCATCCAAATAGATTTCATGAAGGAAACAAACCTAACATTGAAAAGTGAGGGCAAAACTTGTACTTTTATGTCTTGAAATGATGCCAAAAGTGGAGTCAGAGAGCTGAGATTAATTATCTTACATCATATGTTGTGGGATTCTCTGTTGTTCTGTTGCCCAGTAAATTATTCAAATCAGGTTGTTTCCAGCAGCTCTGTGTGTCTCTCTTTAAGATTTTAACAATATTACACAGCTAGCATTGACGCTTAATGGTTCCCACGCAGAGTTTAATCCTGCGTTCAGGAGCGAAATACAATACGGAGTGGTTGGGAGAAGGTCAAACATTCAGGGGAATTTCTCAGGTATTGATAAAATATTGTCTTCATATTTCTGAGCAAAAGCTGAGATTCTTTTTGTAATATTGTGGAGCCAAGGGAGCTGACCACCAAGACTGTAAAAAAACCAAAAACCTTTGACTTCTCTTACTGTATTGTTTCAGTTTTATGGCACCTTTACTTTAAGCATCATTATGCTTTACAGCCACTTTTAGCTGATAATTCTTGTTTTATGGCACTTCTACTGCGATCTTGATGAGCTGTACAGCCTCTTTTATCCAGCTGCTTTCATTAGTCACTTCAACTATAATGGGTCAACCTTAATGCTCTGATTGTTTCGAGCTGAAAAAACAACAACAAATAAGCACAAATAAACAGAATCAGCTATTCAAAAGATGAAATCGAACGCTTATTTGTTGAGAAATGTAAAAATATTTGAACTAATTTGTCACTTTCACTGTAATGGGTCAACCTTAATGCTCTCATTAACCTAGTTTCAAGTAGAAAATAAACAACAAATAAGCACTTATAAACAGAACCAACTATTCAAAAGATGAAGTCGAACACCTACTAGTTGAAAAATGTAAAAATATGCAAACTAAAGTACAGCATAACTTATGGTTAGGAGTATGTATGGACTAGCAAATTCTACCTCAAGGTAATAGTCAGGATTGGACCTATAATTTAACCCTTTAATGCCTGAAACCACAAATTATGGCCAGAAAATTCAATTTCTTTTGGAGCTGAAATGTTTATTTCACTTACTACTGAAAACCAAAAAAATCAAAATGTCCTTAAAATGTATTAAATATATTTATTTATCTTGTTTGATACATCGGACGTTTTTGGAAACTGATAAACCACAAGAGGACACTTTAATCATTTATCAGACTGTATTAAGGTGGTTTTTTTTAAGAATTTGTTGATCATATTGATTTGATAGAAGTACCCTAAAAGACTCCAGTGGGTTGATTATCATCCCTGTTTCTGCTAAATGCACAAAAAGGAAATCATGAGGTCACGCTGACCATTTATACGTGCACAGCTTTAGGTCTTTCGGCTTGTTTTTCTGCCTCCTAGTGGTCGAGTTTTAAACATAGCTTTAAAAAGGACTGAGGGAAAAATTGCAGCTGCCACAGCAGAGCAGGAGGTGAGTAACGCGTTAGTGCAGCCTGGTGGTTTTCACATTGTCACAAGGTCAAATGTGCGATGGAGAGATCCCAGGTGTTCTGATGTCAGAGTGAACAGAGACACATGCAGCAGCAGCGGCAGCAGCAGCAGCAGCAGTAGCAGCAGCAGTGCGGCAGGCATGTAAAGACTGAGACTTCTATCCCTTGTTATAAATATAACAAGAGTTTGACTGAAGCAGCTGCAGCTTGTTGCACACACACACGGGTATACACACAAAAATGCACATGAACGTACGCGCTCTGCTGTGTTTCTGTCAACTCGGCACATTTCCCAGGCAGCTTGCACAGCTGAGTGCACTGCATTACACACACACACACACACACACACACACACACACACACACACACACACACACACACACACACACTCGCACACACACAGACATAGGGGAAGCAGTCAGTGACCTACAAGTGTCTAAAGCACACAAGTGTGCGTCAGTTACTGCTGGTTTGGATCAAAAATTAAATTGTAGCTCGCAGCTTTTTTTCTCCCTCTTTCTCTTTCTTTCTCTTGCCTTTCACTGCCTCTCTCCATCTCTCTTTCTCCTTCAATTCTCTGTTTTTCAAAGGCACACATAAAAGGAGGACGGCTTCGGTTTGGCAGAGTATTTTAATCTTTAATAAGCATTTAGAAGAGCTATCAGCTCTAATGCTGCTTAAGTGCTTTGAAATGAATACAAAGTTGACACAGTGAGACAGAGGCGGAGACAGTTTGAGAGAGACAAAGACAAACAAACACGGACAGCGTGCACATGTACATGTTGAGACACACAGCAGGTACCAAATTACGTGGAACGAATACTGTGGAGCGGTCATGTTTAATTGGCAGGGATCACACTAAGCTTATATGGGAAAAGCAGCAGTGTGTTAACTCTAAAACCTCCCATCCTTAAACTAGGGAGAAAGTCTCTTTAAATGTCCTCCTTTCACAACTCAATCTGATCTTTATGATTCACCAAAACAAGGACCCAAAGGTGACATGATGAATACAGAGTAAGGAGTTGAAACTGGGGTAATTCTGGTAGCACTTTATTTGACGCTTATCTCTATAGTGCATTATAAATATATGTATAATGTGTTATAATCATGTTATAGCACTGTTTAACTACAGTTATAAACACTCATAAATGATCATAATGCTTTATAGCAATAATCATAGCACATTATAAAGCATTTTATCATGACTTACAAGGTCAGGGATTATAATGTGTTATAACCGTTAACAACTCACTGACAATGCCCACATAGATAATGCAATGCAATTGTTAACAGTTATAACACATTACTATACCTGACCTTGGAAGTCATGATAAATGCTCTATAATGTGCTATGATTATTGCTATAAAGCATTATGATCATTTATGAGTGTTTATAACTATAGTTATACAGTGCTATAATGTGATTATAACGCATTTTAAATAGATTTATTATGCGTTATAAAGAGAGGCGTCAAATAAACAGAGCCAATGAAGGGAGCCATCAGACATCAGAAGTCAAATCACCAACCCAGTCCTTACCAAGTCTGTTATTCCATCCAATCAACGTAAATCTGAATCAAACAAAAGGAAATTTCATATGGCAGTTGTATTATTTTAACTAAATATGTTTACTTAAGTGCTACACACAATTAAAGCTGACTTAATTTGAAAGAAATATGCACTTTCTTACTGCACTTTAACATGAAATGCAGGAGAAGCATAATTATGTAATAGTATGTTTTACTATCAAACTAAATAGTTTTGAATGAGCATGTTTACATCACATATGATCTAAAATCGACTGCATAGTAGACGGGGCAAAAGAAAGTTATTTAAAGGTTGTTGTTTTTTTTGCAAAATAATGAAAAAAATTAAATAAAAACTTGTCTTGGAGACGCTGTAGTACCCTTGAGCAAAGCGTGACCTCTTCAGTGGAGCTGCTCAGACTCCACCAGCAGCAGTCTGTAGTTCTACAGCCAGTTTATGTGATATGACATTTTGCTTCATCTCAAAAGACCAGGCTGTTCTTAGTCAACTTAATAACGTTTAAAAATGAACACTTGGTCATGTTTCAAAGCTTTACTCATGCTCTATAAAACAAGACACACACATACACACATGCGCACACTCGCACAAACACAGGACTTTGTTCCAGAGTGCAATGATTGAATATTTATGATTCATGATTTTTTTTCTCTCAAGCCCCCCTCTCTCTTATTCCTACTCCCTCTCTTTGCTTTCCCAGCCTCTCTTGCTCCGTCTTGAATTAACTGAAAATGTTAAATCAGCATGAAGGCTGTTAACAACTCTGCCAAACCACTTAACCACAATTAATATGTTGGTCATACCACGACTTTAACCCCGCTAAAACTCCTTCTCCTGCCTGATTTCTGTCTTCCTTCCTCTCCTTCTTTCTCTTTTGTTGTCTACCTACTCACCCTTCTTCTCCTCCTCCTCTCTTTCCTATCGCTTTCCATCTCTTGTTCTCATCATATTATCGACCAACTTCTGAGCTTTCTCAGAACTGCATCATGAAATTATATTACCAGCAATAGTATCTCCTCTGCTGCCTGTGTCTGAATGCTCACAGAGTGCTAATTGAAATGGAGAGCTATTGATCGGCATGGATCCACAGGAGTCACGGCTGTGGGGTATTAGCTACCAGACTTTTTCCTTGTGTCTGCTGGAGCTCGGCCTGTTGAGTGTAAAAGCCAATAATAGAAATAATGAAGCAGCTGACTTCATAACACAGCAACAAATTATTAATCAGCTTTATTGAGAGCTTTTCAAAAATACGTGGGTTGTGCAGGAATGTTTTAAGCCAGAGGAAGACCAAAAGGCTCCGACTAATGCTGAATGCTGTCAGTGTCAGTTTGCCCTTGAGCAAAGCACAAGTACCCCAGCTGCTGTAATAGAGATGCTCTGTGTTCAGCAGTAGATGTTCTGACAGCTCAGAGGTGTGACTCTGTAGCTGTAGACCTGTCAGGAGAGGTGCAGTTGTTGAGGAAGCAGTGTGCTCACTGAACCCTCATATGAAAAATAAAGATTTCCTGCTGAGGAAAAAGTGTTTCCTCCCGGCTGGAAAAGACATAAAAGCACTTTACTGCCACTATAAATACCTCAACTCCTCTTCTCCGCTTTATCTGAAAAAGCTTGTGTTTTAGATAAAGCTCTGACAAGTCTCCTGTGCCCGCTTTTGTCTCATGTTTGCATGTGTTATAATGAAAACAGCAAACTTCCTCTTCAAACATAATGCAGATGTTGTTAATGTGATCCTGGGCGGTCCAATTGATATTTAGAAACCAGAGACGCCAGGCTGTAATCAGCAGCATTATCAGGAGACAACACATGAAGCAGCTCTGAATAATGAATGAACTTCAGTGTATGAGTTTGATTTGTGGCCCGGGTTTTTATAATCATATGAATCTTTTTAAACTGTGGATACTTCAGGGCGTTTGTGGTCCTCCAGATGATCGCAGCTCATAAAAATCATTGGGTAACAAACTCGGCCCAAGTTAGTAACAACTATTCTGCTCACTAAAGTTTCCTGTCCATGACTCATAGATATAGATCGCGTTGATGGATACAGCATTACCTTTACTGCATTTTAATCCTTCAAATAATCTGATGCTACTGTCAAGATTTAAAATAGCAGTTGGAGGATTTCCAGTTCATATAAATCAATAGGAGGATCAACTTATTTCACTTAAAAATGCAAGAGAAAAAACTTCAAAGTTACGTAAACTTATGAATCCCAAAGTTAGTGCGATGTCTAAAATACTGACAGCAACAAGATGGTTTGGATGAAGTTTAAATACAATATAAATGATGTCATCCTTCATGGTACCATTCTAACCTGCATTGTGGATATAGTATTTTAGTGTGATCAAAGCCTATGCATTGATTTCCACTACAGAGTCAATTCAGTGCTGCCTAAGAGACCAAAGATTGCAGCTATAAAGAGTTATTTTTCAGCCTGTTGATGAGATTTTATGCCAAGGGACATTATTCTAAAATTGTTGATATATTTGCTGATGCAGTCTCTCACAGATTGATAAACCTCTTCTGACCTTTACTTTGGAGAGGCTCCACATCATCCCAACAACGCCTTTTATATACCCAGTTCTATTACTAACCTGTTGTGAATAAGTAGTTTTAGCTGAAAGGTGTATTTTTTTAGCATGACACAACTTTTTCAGTGTCATTCCTGTCCTAAACTTTTTGAAATGTGTTGCTGGCATTATCAGTTTAAATATTTGATATGTTGCATCTCATGATTTTAGGATAAATAAAGGTTTTAAAATGATTTGCAAATCATCAAAGTGTGTTTTTAATCATTTTTTTTTTTCACAGCATCCATATTTCTTTCATATCAATCACCCTGTCGCACAACATATGACCGATCTTATCCTCTTTCTCTTTAGGATACGTCAGCGATTATCTGAGTCCATCTCCCTATGATGATGTGGTGGGAAGCGACTCCTCTGTCATCTCCAAAGTTCCCTCGCCCAGTCACCCGTCAATCATTTATAGCCGCATTGAGGACACCTACTCTGGCATCCATGGGGACATCCATGGTGATTCAGACCAGCCAGACAGCCCCCGGTCTGAGGTGTCGTCATCTGCCGGGGGATACATCAACGGGGATGCCGCCGTGAGCGAAGGATACTCAGTGGATGCCTTTTTCATCATGGATGGACGATCAAGAAGAAAAATGACCACGAACCCCAGAGGAGCCACTCAGAGGCACACCTGCAGCGAGTGCGGCAAAACCTACGCCACTTCCTCCAACCTGAGCCGGCACAAGCAGACACACAGGAGCATCGACAGCAAGATGGCGAAGAAGTGCCCGACATGCGGCAAAGTATACGTCTCCATGCCGGCGATGGCCATGCACCTGCTCACCCATGACCTCAAGCACAAATGCGACGTGTGCGGCAAAGCATTCAGCCGTCCGTGGCTGCTGCAGGGCCACATGCGCTCACACACAGGTGAAAAGCCATTTGGGTGTGCACACTGTGGAAAGGCTTTTGCTGACCGGTCAAACCTGCGGGCTCACATGCAGACGCACTCGGCCTTCAAGCACTACAAGTGTAAACGCTGCGATAAGACGTTTGCACTCAAGAGTTACCTGAATAAGCACTACGAGTCGGCGTGTTTCAAAGGGGCGTTCTCCCCGATGAGCTCGCTGGGGGAATGATGAAGTCAGAAAGGTGGACTGGACTATTATTTTTTTAGGTTATTTAGATCCGATCTTACTGGCCTCACTCCTTCTCTCTTCCTGCTTTTCTAACAAAAAGACCAGTATGCCTGAGCACTAAAGACAGGGGTGTGTTTTCTGCGAGGATCATGAAGCAAATGAAAAAATAGATTGAGGAGTAGTTTAAGGACATGTCTTTAATCACAACCCTCCTATCCTTCCTTTGTCTCCTCTTTCCTTATCTGGAAGTAGAGTACAAGGTTTTCAATCTGATTTAGATTACCACCCGCGTCAATGAGATACGTCCCTTTCTAAGGCTGTTTTGAGTATCTGTGAAGATAAATAAAGCACAGCCCATCTAGCTCATCACTTTTGAAGATACCTAGATCTATTTACGGCCATATCTATCCCTGTCCCATGACGAAAACACTCTGAAGCACAACTCTTCTCCCATCTCTTTGTCTTCCCGAGACAGGAATATCACAGGACTTTGAAGCATGAATCACATCTTTAGTTTTCTTGCAAAGAGATTCAATGAACTTTCCTATTTACTGCTTTTTTAAAAGAAACAGATGCTTACAATCTAAGGGTACCTCTAGTGTCCTGCTTTTGAAACTAACCTTGGCCTGAACTCATAAGAAGATAAAGCAACAAGACAAAGAAATGACACGGCATATGTTACCTACAAGTAAACAAAATACAGGTTAAGTTTTTCCTTTATATGAGCGAGATGCTTTGTCTATTGTATGTCAACTATAGCTTCTATTAGATTCACTCTGAACTGTCACGGTACACCTTTCTCTTTCAAAAAAGTTCATCTTTTCTATTTTCTTTCCTCCAACATCTTAAATAGACAGTTGTTTTTTGACGTCTGAGCTTTACTTGACAGTAAACGGTGAAAACTGAGAGAGAACTAAAGAGACAGACCAGATTTAAACAATTACAATTCCCACTGAGCCGCCAGGGTATTCCTTAACAAACACTGTTTTCCTACAATCTCTATTATTTATTTTCGTCACAGGATTCAGACATTAAATGTGCTGATTTCCCTCAAAAGGTTAAACCTTCTCAATGTTGTATTATGCTGTTTTCGTTGCCAACTGGTGTTACTTTTTAAAGTCTTTTTTTATGTGTCTATTTATTGCCTAATTTATTTATTTATTTATTCATTTGTTATTCTTAAATGTATTAATTTTGCACTTTACTTTGTTAAATTATTCTGTTACGATTTTTGCCTTTGTTACAAATATGCCAAAGCATTTGACACTTTCTAATTACCGAAAAACCTTTTTACTTTTGTCCGCCACTTTAATTATAAAACTGCATGCAAAAAATAACAATAGCCTAATAATGGAATCTATGCCAATTTTCTGAAACTTTGGATACTTTGCCAAACCACTTAGGTAAACAGGCATATTAAGCAAATTTCTGTCTTGGGCAATATTTCATTAATATCCGATAGAGCAATAATGCATGATATTTTTGAGAAGACGAGTCATAACTGCTTGTAACATCTTGATTTTTTTCAAGTACTATTCTATGTAGTTATGAGTACTGAAATTTCAGGGAGTTAGCCAATGAAGTTAGTGTTAAATATGGAGGGTTGGGTTAAGAGCTCGAATTCAGAGGGATTGTGCAACTGTTGTGATGCTTTGAGGCTTGCTCTGACGACTTGGAGAGTCATTTTCCCAATTTGAGTTGAATATAATCCAAACCAGTTCCCTCCCAGTGATAACTCTATGTCAGCTTCATTAGCTTGTTGACACCATTCAAGCATTAGGAGCTGTCGCGGCTTCCAAGGGTTCACACAGATGGCACAACTCCCCTAAGTAGAGGGCTCTGGGTTGGGTTGGGATGGGTCTTTTTGTACATGGTTTATGCACTGCCTGCCTCGTATTATTACTCGAAAAATATTGTAGAAAGTAGAAGGTACTACTGTAGGCCTCTGGTGCTGAAACATGGACAAAACCACAAACCAAGAAGAAGACGAATGATGGGTCAAACAGAACTTCACACAGGTGTGGTGCCAATTAATCCCATCAAAAGATCTTTTCTTTCCTCTATGGCTCTCCATAAGACATTAATTATCAAAGTCCATAAGAGGAATCTGGAGCTAACGCGCTCCCTGCACAGTTTCCGGTTGTTTTTCTTCCCATCAGCTCTGGCTGTTTTGAGCTTGTTGTGGCGATCCCTGATGCAATTAAAGAATGATAGCGGAAGAAAAGAAGACATTTGGTCAATATTTCAGCACCAGAGCGCACAGACAAACACTTAGATTCTACTATGAACTACTGTAGCCTACTATAGCCACAAGCTAGTTTACCTATTCTTACATAAAAAGCACTTCCTCTTATGGAGTATATCTTATGACTTTTTTGTGTTCAAAGATAGTAGCACAATGAAAGAGTTTAGTTTCAGGTAGAGAACACCTTGTAAGTAGGAATAAAGACCTCTTTCTCCTTTTTCTACTACGATGAATCAAAGGTAAAATCAACTGGGATGCTAAAATAACACAAGAGCTGTTTGACATGTGGTATTCAACAACACCTTTACTACATGTTGTGTTATTTTTCAACATGTTTGTGTGGGAGCATCTTCAACACAACCTTTTTTAAGTGCAAATGAAAACTCAACTATTTTGCGGCAAGAGGCCTTGTATATAAGCATTAATGTGACTTTGGAGTACTATTATTTCTATAGATCTGTATAGAGTGATAGTGATCATGATGACAAAGAGGAGGAGGATGGTGATGATGAAGGTGACGACTTTTTCTGGAGCTTCCTGCTTTGTTTTGAGTTCTTCCTCCGAGGTTTTTTTGGACCTCCTGTGGCGGTTCCAAACAATGTAAAGCACAAAGACAACACTGGGCATTTTGTTTCACTTCTTAAATAAAAATTAGTTTAAAAAAGTTGTGCTATGTTTTCTTTTTCTCATGGTTAAGATCTGTACAGTTTATAGTAGACATCTAACCCTCTTTTGAAATGATACTCATATTACTCTCATATTTAGATTGGTGGTCAAGAGCTGGACAAAAAAAAACAATGAAAGAAAGGGCTTGAGCTTGAGTGGTGCACCATGAGTAACATATTCGAGGCGCTAATGAATTGCCAATTGTAAGTGTAATAGGGGAAAGACAGTTAAGGGTGCTAGAGGAGCTGGTTTCCACATCATAGTGTTAGGTTGGAAGAGTGTTGGTGCTGGTTTTGGGAATGAAGTAAGTTTTAGATCTATCCGGTCGTTCAAAAATATTCAACTTGCTGTGGAGCGACAGGAAACATGATGCCCTGTCCTTGGATACCATGGGTTTCTGATCTTATGTTCATGGCAGCCTTATAAGAAAGTGGTAGAATTGACTCAGTCAAGACAAACAAGGTGGCCTGATGGACAAAAAGCCACATCACTAACTTATCAGACAAGTTACATCAGTCCCCTGGCTTAGACAACTCAATACAACTCCAAACGTTTTGGAATTACTACAATTCAAGCCAAGTACACTCAGTTTAATTTGATAAACTGGTGCAGTGACCCTTTAAACAATGCATTCATATCATATAGCTGCTTTAGAATGATCTTTACAATGCTGAAACAAATAGTATAGCATCAATTAATCATCGGCATATAAAGTGGTCAATACGTTTGTACTCAAATGATTCACAGTTATAATCAAATAATTTGGTGTTAAATTAATAAATGTTGTTTTTAGCCTCTGTGCTTTCATTACTCAGTACGGTTAATTAGAGTTTGTGTAACATTCATTAGGATGACTCGCCTGCAGTATAAAATATAGCAAGTGATTATTAGTTACAATGCTCCCCCACCCTCTCCCTCTGTTTACCCTATGGCGACTATGCAGAGGTCAAATCCTCAACACTCCACAGTGTGTGTGTGTGTGTGTGTGTGTGTGTGTGTGTTTAATTGCCTATGTGGGGTCTCACAAGAACAGGGAAGCTAACGTTAGGGCAATGTCTTTAACCTTGATAACACTGAAACACACTGTGTGTAAGCACAGATGTAGGGTTTATTATCTGCTAATCTGCTTGAGTGTAAATGTTAATATTCAGTTGTTTTTTTTATAATTAAACTCAGCTGTTATTATGTTAACATGTGGTAAGATGTTTGCATGAAGAAGACATCAATGTTGTTAACACAGAGTGCAGTAATCTTATATTTGCTATCATAAATGAAGTTCAAAAACGTTCCAACAGTTTGCTATTTTACTGACATGGTGAAGGTGATGAGGTGTTGCACCTGTTGATGTGCGAAACAGCTGCTCTCCATGTTTAATCACCCAGTTTCTCATAATTAATGCAGTGAAACTTCTGAAACCATGTAAGTTAACCTCTGAAAATCAAGCTTTTTGTTAGGCTCGTATGCACAACATTACAAATCATATAAGGCATGCTCTGTTTTGGTGCTTTTACATCTACGTTAAAGTTCTGTGACACGAAACCTATAAATTCTATTTTTCAACACCCATCTCAACCAAGACTTCCTATTGCATGAGGAATAAAATACCTCATTTGGACTTTTCTGTTTGAATTAAAATTACTAATAAAACATAGAACAGATAATATTCAATTGAGGGCATGGATCATAAAACAACATTAGCTTCTGCTACCAAATGTGAACAAATTGATTAAAAAGAACTTTAATTTAATTAGGCCTGTGCATGTTGAATGCAAACGCAGTTTTAATCAATTAGATTGTATGAAAGAAAATGGAAAAGGAGAAAAGAGAAAGACTGGAAAGTGCAGCCGTTACCAAGAATAGTTTGTCTTGAGTAACATTCATTTTCTCGATATGAAAACATCGTATTTCTCTGAACAAAATTTGGCTAGGGGTCCACATTTTTCAATTAAAGCATCAGAAACATATTTCATTCAGACCAGAATTCATGTCTTTTTTTAATTTCTGCACATTTAATCGTTGATTATTCATTACTTATTTGTGTTCCTGTGCAAAATATGTCTTTGTATGAGTTTTATCTGGTGGAATTAAACATTTTGTAAACAGCTAAAACATCCGTATCTTGTGAGAAACATAAAGGTGGTTCAAACAATAGGAAAGCATGCAAACATATTGACTATATGGCATCGCTAATACCTTGGTTTGACATATTTTAAAGTTTATTTTGGGGTTTAATGCCTCAATTGCTGCCTCAAAGACCATAGCCTTCGCACGTGGTTTAACCACCCTCTAGTACAAAGCCACTCTCCATAATACCAATTTTAAATCCAACCACCTTTACCTGCCTGAATCCACTCAGCTGGTTTCATGAGACAGTAGCACATTAACTTCAGCTGGCGTGACTAACCAACACATGCTCTCATTGGATTATTAGAAATGGTCTCCACACTGTAACTTGGACCACTATTGGCCATATGGAGCATCCTATCGACTGTAATTGGCTACCATCTGCCAGAAGTTTACCTCCAAAGACAAATGACCTTCTATTAAAAGGTGATTGATTTTCTCCTATTCCTACTAAAGATATTGATTTTCTTATATTGCCTTTGGTCCGCTAATGATACTAATTCTAACACTCACTGGACCTGAAAGAAAGGCTTCCTAGCTATAATAGCTACTGTCAATGTATGTGTGTGGGTGGGTGGATGTGTTTTGCACAAACATCTATGAAATCTATAATAGCATTATTTAACTCTGGTGTGATATCCCACATTACATTAGTCTGAACCAGTATGGATCCAACACAACAAATGGAGCATTACAGGTGGGTTAAACCAAAAAGGAAACACAATGAGGAAACAAGAAATCATATTCAAACTGAGTCGTTTCTACATAACCGACACTTGTTAACTAGTCTGGTTTTATGGACATGGACAGAGCTACACATGTCTATTGGAGAGAGATGTTAAAACTGGTACTATGTAGATCGAACGGTGAGTTGGTCCAAATATATCTGATGGTGGTTTTGAGTGAAATATCTTCAAAATGTTCATCTTGGCGATCATTTCGATCACGCTTTGAACAAAAAAGGACTCGAAACTTGCTGTTAATTTGTCTGCGACTGTGAGATAAATCTCGTGACAGAAGCAGATCTCCTGGTGAAATCTGGTCTAATTATAGCCGTTTAATCTTTGTCCCTAAATAGTCAGAGAGGAATCTTTAACTTTGAACCATTTTTGAACGTCCTCACAACCTTGGCTCGACATCTTTTCAACGGAAAAGTGCTCACTGGGAAAACAACTATACCGCAAAATAAACTGGACTTTATCTGTATGCCTAAGAACACTGGAGGAAGGACAAAGAGTGTGAAACAGAGGGAAAAATGAGAAGAAATGTCACATACAGAGAATATTTTATTTATTGCTCCAAAGCATTTAAATATGCTAATTCCTGTTTCCCATGACATCTGACCTTCTAGCCTTCAGAAGGTGACGGGTTTAAATAGTTTATTCACAGTCCCTGTAGTAGTAGTTTTTACTTTAAATCATTCATAAAGCAGAATGAAGGGCTGTGAAACTCAAACATATACAGAGAGCACCACACATAAAACTGTCTAATATTCTGAACCTGTTATCACAAATAATCCGGGCTGAGAAGAATATGTCACGAAACTGAAGATGAGCCTGTTCAAGATAAATCAGCGCCTCATTTTCAGGGAAATATGCCTCAGTTCAGTTTTATGAGTCGGTATCTTGTCCCCAAAGCAAGCTTTGATTTTACTATTACTGACTGAAGATGTGCCTTCACACCTGTGAGATCCCCTGTGGTTAAAAACGGAGAGCTCATCCCACAGTGAAATGGGTTTTGGATGCTCTCAGGTGACTCCTCTCATATTTATTCATATCTAGTATCACATGCTGAGGTGTAAAAAAGTGGGAAAAGGGCTCGTCCTGTGTGATCTTGCCTTGTTGGGATGAGAAGCTTTCAGAATATTTGTGAGCGTTTTGCTCTTGTTAAAAATTTTGTATTTTAAATCTTTTAACCACATGGGGATTTTTCCTAGAGGCTCTTTGACTTTGATTTGTTGTCTCTCAAACTCCCCCAAAGCTAAAGACGTGAGAGTCACACAGTCAACATTTCTTTAAACAAACCTTAAAACTCACCATGCTCATGACATTTGTGGTAATCTTTCAAAACCAGCCCTCAGTGGTGTCAGACTCACACAGGTTTGGAGATAATCTTTAAAAAATGATAAACAGAAAATCTGGAACAGCCACAAAGAAGTCAGATGACTAGCCTAAATCTGGAAATGTCCACATAAAGAAAATTTTGAGATCTTGGCTGCCTTCAAACAGCCTACTACACCAGTAGCATTTACTAATTTAGCCAAAATGTAGAATAATGGTATGCAAATAACTAATTAAATTCCTCTTCCCACAAAAACCAGCGAGACAGTCCAGAAAACAGCAAAACAGATCAAACAAACAGTCATACAACGTACCTTTTAATGCAGTAAGAGGCCTGCATGAAGTGGGCAGTTTTGGATTCATCCTGTATCCTTGTATGAAAGTTCACTGTTTTTATCCAAAAGTCTTCAGCTGAGTCTGACAAAACCTTAAGAGCGCTAGTCCAGGCAGACAACTTTAGCTGCTGTGATTTCAAATCTAACATGCATCATTCTCACAATCACTTCCTGGTTTAGCAAAAGGTGTGGCCACAGGTGGGCTACACTCATATGCTGAGGCCTGCAGACTGGAGCAGACCATGTGCTCTGATGTCAGGGGGGGTTTAGGTTTAGTTAGCTTTGCTTTGAATTTAGTTGAACTTAGTATTCATTTTGTTTTCTCTTGGTGTTAAACGTGGTTTGTTAAGTTTGTCTCATTGTTTAGTTCACGCCTTTAATTTTGTCCCAGTTCTTTTCATTTTAGTTTGTAAATTTGGTTCATTCGGGTGAAATAAAAACCTGCTTTTTCTATTAAGTCCCACTTAAAACATTTTTTT